AACAACACAGGGATCTGCATTATGTTGAACCCCAAGTGGCAGATACCTTGTAGGCAGTCACTGCTTGTGTTGCAAACCCACCTTAAGGCTGTATTCAATACTTGGATGCATCCTCCCAAGCAAAATATACAATGAAATAGAGTAGGGGAAAATATATTTTCTTATACATTTTATGGGGAGAAGGGCAAAGAGCTGTATCCACCAAAGAGCAAAAATTCACACAATTTTTCTTAAAAAGCCTCTTGGGCCTCTAGCCCCACACCAATTCTCTGTTCTCACCAGGCCTTTGAATGCCTTGTATTGACAAGATCCATTTAGTTCTGGCTTTAAATTCACATTGGCCACCAGCAAGCATATCAGGTAGCTAGGAGACCACCTATTTTGAAAGCTGTTCTAAAAGTGCCTGTATTGCAGGGATTTTCAAACATTAATACCTGTAAGAACAATAATTTATACTCTAACCTAGAATACATATATACATATATATATATACATATATATATGTATATATGTATTCTAGGTTGGAATATATATATATATATATATACTGAGGTATAAATGAATAAAATGTCTTATGACTTTCACAATGGACTCATTCCTATTCTCCCTCCCCTCTGCTCCTCTCCACTCCTCTCTTAGAGTATCAAATAATAATAAAAAATACTAGTTCTTAGTGTATTTAATAACAATAAAAAATACTAGTTCTAAGCAACAAAGTTCTTTTTACTGGAAGTTACAAAAACATTTTACTATTATTTAAACATGGCTTTCTTAGTCTCAGTCCACAACTCTTGTTGTTATTTAAAATACTAAAAACAGGTTCCTTTCAGGGATGTGTCTAAGTCCATTCAGGATGCTATAACAAAATACCACACTGGGTAACTTAGAAACAACATAAATTAATGCATTTCTCACACTTCTGGAGGCTGAGAAGTTCAAGTTCAATGTATCAGCGTGGTCAGGTGAAAGCACTTCCTTGCTCATAGCTAGTGACTTCTTGCTGTGTCCTCAGGCCACTAATTCCATTTGTGAGGGTTCCACCCTCATGACCTGAGCACCTCCCAAAGGCCCCATCTATTATACCATCTTCTTTGGGGGTTAGGATTTCAACATATATATTTTGGCGGAGGGCACAGACATTCACATCACAGAAGGATGCTCCTGCTGTTAAAAAAAAATAGCTTTCTACCATATTATTACCTAAGAAACTTGAAAACTGAGGACTTTAAATTACTTCAGGTTGATTACTTCATGCTTCCTTCGTGATATGCCATTTTAAACCTCTCAATTCAATTCCTCTTTCCTGGGTCTACATGGCAAACATCACTGGCCTTGAGAGGAGCCGTAATGATCATGCCTGTCAGAGCTGCTGCCTGCTGTGGTCCTTTTACTAAAAGGCAAAGCCTTATTATTTTTTTTTAATTTAAATTTCTGCTATATTCTAAGATGTGAAACAATTATAAATGGGGTAAATTCACATTTAAAAGTACATGCCCTTTAAGTCTCTTATCACTGAAAATATTCCTTTTCTGTCACAAGCATATATTGTAGTTTATTCCCGTTGTCTTGCAATGAATTCTCCTCAGTGTCTTGGCCTGATGCTTATAAAAATCATCACAAAGCTGTTTCCGTATTGGCCATAGGGGATGGCGTGTTTGAATGCACCATCCGTCTCATTGCCACCACTCCTTTCCAGTGGCAGCAGGTTGAGCTTATGTCGCAATTCATCATTATTATTAACATATCCATGTGTGGGCATCTGAATGGTGCTATGGGGATTTTACATAAATGTGAAAGTGTAGCCCATGCCTTTGAGGACATTAAAATAAAATTAAATCAGAAGCACTTACCATATGCAGTACCTAATCTGGTAATATGGTGACCATTTGCTGATGCACTATTCTGTATTTCCACAACATTACTGTTTGCAAATGATTCGAGCAACTCCTGCCAATATGTGCAAAAACAACTAAATGAAGAGCCTTTTTCAAAAATGTCCTCCCATTTCTGCTACCAAATTCATCCAGTAGAAATATCTCTTGGAGTAAGTGCCACTTGCCTACTGTGGAAAACACTATTTGGTGGCAATGTTGAAACATCCAATATAAATTACAGCCACTCACTGCAACAGAATCAAAGAACCCTATTTCCCTCTTCAAAATCAATAGATAAAAATGGTACTTGCACTAGGTATTTTTTCTTCATAAAGGAAAAATGACAATACATTTTGTTCCAGGGTAGTTCAGATATTTCTCAACTAGCAATGTGGTTTAATCCTCCACTTACCGGCTCAGGTGAAAGGGTCCTATTGCATCTCAAAGGCAAGAGGCAATATTTTTCACAAATAAATTACCCTCTAACTCAGTTGCCAATATTGTTTAAACTATCCTTCAGGAGGGGAGAAATAGAGAGCATTGCATTTCTGATAGTTAAACATTCATGTATCTTTACCAAAATCTTTACTTCAAATCATGTATTCAAAGCTGAAGTGCTAGACATTTTAAAATGTTAGTTTATAGAGAGAATATTTCCCATTCATGAACTTATTTTAATAGATTTTTTTTTTAAGAAAAAAACAAGTTTTAACATGGTCAGATTTTCCTTCTCAAAATTTTGTTTCTATTATTTTTACATCATGAATCAGTAATTTTAAAAGCCCTATAGTTGAAAATTTTCTGTTGAACAATGAAAGTTTACTCTGTATACATGTTGTCATGATTCTTTATTGGTCTTATTAAAAAACAATATATAGAAATGATTTTATTTAGTAAAAGCATACTTCTGTAGATTTTTGTGTCTGCAAAAATTAGGCAAGCAATGGAACCCCACTGAACCATTCATATTAAATGCAGTTCAGTGGAACATACACAAATAATTATAAGTTAGTACTGAGAACTATCAGAGATCCACTGAAGCTCATCTAAGGAGTCAACATTTAATATCTTAAGTTATTTTCTTATTTGTTTTAAAATCTAAGAAAATATCTAAACAGTGGGAAATACACAGACTTAATATTTTACAGTGACTTCCAGAGAGGCAAAAGAGGGTTTATGAAGAGCCAAGTGTTATGATTCTCCTTAAGCAGTAATTGAGTTAAATCGGTAAATACATATTAATGTTTGTGTTACTGCTTACTTGACTGGATCTCTTCATTATACTACTGAGAATCATGTACTTAAAAAACAATAGAAATAATAGCATCTGATTAACCATAAGCAGATCCATACTTTAAATATGTGTTAGATAAAGAAAGGTCTTTGGATAACTAGAATCCCCATAAAATTTTCATAGCTAAAGGAGCAAAAAGAAATGCACACATTTTAATGACTTTGTTTTGGATAGGCCAGTTTTGCTGATTTTAATGTATGTTTGCAGCCTACTGTAATTTCTATATCTTTCTGTATTTTTTAACTGTCTTGTACAAAAAGGAAAAAAATAAACCAAGCAACTAGTTAAAGAGTAATGGGCATTCATATTCAGACAATTTGTATATTCTTAAAAATGTGTTTAATTACAACTGCTCCAAAATTATCCCAGATTTTCAAAAGTTTTATTTTAAGTTTGAAGACTAGACAAGGTCATACTGATTTTACAACATCCTACATAATTTAAGTATATATACAAAGAAAAACAACAACATTGGAATATTACACAGCTTGAATGTTTGCAAAGGTTATTTGTGTATTAGTTATTTCTGTACTTACTGACACATCAGATGCCAGCAGTATTATATTTCATAATTTGCTGGCTAGCAAAGGTATAATCATTAGTACCCTAACTCTTCAAAATTCACAATAGTCCTTATGAAGTCATTTAGAAAGAGAAAGTCAATCCTTAAATTAAAATTAGTGGCTATGATAAATGCTTTTAATAAGACATAGATACAATTGGAAATGTTTAAAATGTTAATTTCATAGATTATAAAATTACCATACTTTAATTACTTAATGTGACAAATATGAAGGAATTCTGTGGATTATGCTTATACAATTTTAGTTGTTTTAATGTGAATTTAAATAGAGTAAATTCAAATAATTTTTAAATTTAAAAAACTTCACTTTGATGTCAATGAAAGAGACATAAAAGCTACAGATCACTTCCCAATAATGAGTAACATTTCCATATGTCAAAATCCCATCATTGTCATGAATTTTGAGTATCGTGGACAAATAAATATCCCATTCATGTGCCATGTTGGTGAAGAGCATTTAAAGCAGCAGAGAGAAAATCACAAGCAAGAGAAATTCATTTCATTGTATTTCTAAAAGGTAACAAATATAATTTCCATAAATTCCCTTTGAAAATATTTGTTTAAAAAGCTATCAATAGAATGAAATCAAGAGTATCATAGGAAGCCAGGAATAATTTTGAAAAAGTAAGTCATTACAAAGAATTATAATTTTTAAAACATTTGGTAAAGAATGAGTAACTATTCATCATTTACAAAGGAAAACATCTAGAAATGGGTGGGGCAGTAAACCTTTAAAGAAGAATAATTACTTAAGTCCAAAAACATACATACATATATATGTATAATTTTGGACTTATTTTCAACATGACTTTAAAATTTAGCAAATTAAAAATATTTAAGTTCTTAACTTCAAGGTTATCACTTACAAGCAATATTGAGGACATAACAATTTTGTTTTTTAAAGATTCTGAAAAATGGTCATTATTTCAGATGCTTCAAATCATCTTTATTAAGAGTCTTAAGTAGAAAGTCTATGGGCATAGGACAAATATGTGGCCAGACAGTCCTAATTTTGCTCTTATTAAAAATACCATTATGGCCGAAACCGGTTTGGCTCAGTGGATAGAGCGTTGGCTTGCAAACTGAAAAGTCCCGGGTTCCATTCTGGTCAAGCGCATGTACCTTGGTTGTGGGCACATCCCCAGTGGGGGTTGTGCAAGAGGCAGCTGGTCGATTATTCTCTCTATTGATGTTTCTAACTCTCTGTCCCTCTCTCTTCCTGTAAGAAATCAATAAAATATATTTTAAAAAAATACCATTATGATTGACTTTCTCTTTAAATCCTTTACTCTAAGACCACTCCATATATACATCATTAAGAAATGCTAATAACACATGGACAGACAAGACAGTAACATTCTAGTGGCTTTGTTATGCAGCACAAATTATAAAAGGAAAACATAAAACTTAGGATTGTTGCACAGGACCTCAACACTTCGTACACACACTGTACTTTCTTTTCCAGGACCCTTAATTTAAAACCCCAATGATTCTGTGTCTAAGCCTTATAAAAGAAATAATTGTCAAGCTTATAAATTAGATATTGAGTACTTTTATGGAGGCAGTGTGAGCTTTAATTTGAGGAATGTGTCAATGAAACCTCCATTATCAATAACAAATTGTTATGATAATTGCTTATTTTTCAGGACCTTTGAAGCAAAATAAATAGAAATCAATTTTCATCTTGAAAATGGTTTACTACTTTGCCATTAGTAAGTACTTTTCTTCTCACAAATAACTACACAATGTGCTTTCCTGGGAAACCACCACCAGTTTCAAATCTTAATAGAATTCTGGTTTCATAGAAAGTGCAGAGATGAACAAAGAAATAATGAGTATGCTTGGCCAAGCTATGCAGCACTATGTTAACATCCACTTGTTAAAAACATTTTAAATAGACAAACAAAAGCTTCAGTATTTTATTATGTTAAAGTAAAGATGAGGCTATATAAATACCATGGAAGTGAAGATAAAAATTATGGTTTAAAGGAACATAATACAACTTTGTTCTTGTTTATTTTCCAAAATGGTAACATTATTTTTTTTTTTATAAATGAAGTATCTGGAATTTACATAGATATAGCCTCCTTCAAAAATAGACTTCATATTCAATCTACTTATATTAATTACGATCAATCTACCCATTTTCAATCGTGTTCCATATATAAACAAGGCAAATAATAGGAAAAAACTCAATTGGAAAAGTATGAACTCATTTAGGCAATATACAATATAAAGAATATAAAACACAACAAAGAAAGATAGCATGATGTCTAATTAGAAAAAGTAAAATGAGAATTATAATATCGATTAGTACTGCGTGTTACAAATTCTTCAATATTCTGTTATAAACACTGAGTGTTTGGTAGGCACAGGGAAACAATTAGAATAATGTAGAGTCACTACAGAAAGAAAAAAAAACTTATTGCTAACATTGTAGTATTCCTTTGATAAGAACTGGTTGTGCATTGATTATAAAAGCTTTATCAACTCTTGCTTTTATTTGATAACTATGAGATTTTTTAATCTTGCTACTTTCTGTCCCTAATATATTTCAACCATTGTGAATAATTCTGGAAACTGAGAGAAAAAGTAATTCACTGTTAATGTGATGTTGCTTAAGAAATTTAAATAATAAAAATCAAAAGCCATTTGAAAAGGCAGGCTTAGACCTCCTTAAAAAGACAGTTTGTGGCCTACCGTAATTTGAGCACTTTTTCATGGAAAACCCCATTCAGTTTCCTACAGATTTAGCACAGTTCATTCCATGGAGATAGAGAGGAGGGGGACAGAGAGGATGGTTGTGGGGTGCGGGTCTCCTCACTCCTGCTCTGTGCAGCCCAGCAGCTCCGACCGCAGCGTGATCCTCCCATACCAGGACCAAGGAAGGATCCTTATGTGCCGCGCGTGGATAGGAGGGTCGATGACGTTTTTTCTGTGGGTGTCATTGTCAAAATTTCCCTGGAACACCTGGTAAAGGAGAGTGAAGAACATCAATCATATAGGTTCTTCTTGGGAATTACTTTTATTATTTTCTTATTTGGAGTTTTTTTTTTTTTACTCAAATGTGAGATTTGATAACTAATCATGTTATGTTTTTAAAAACATATTGCAGATTCTTTCTTTTTCTTTTTTTAAAAATGTTATTGTTGAAAGTATTACATATGGCCCCCTCTTTTCCTCATTCTAGCCCCTTCTAGTCCCCTTTCCCACAAGCCCCCAATCCCAGGCCTTCACCACCCTGTTGTCTGTGTCCACCAGTTATTCATACGTGCATACAAGTTCTTTGGTTGATCTTTCCCTACCCACCCATCCCTGCCTCTCAAAGCCCAGCCCAAGTGCAGCTTCTTTTTAATGATTGTTTTAAAATTGTCAATCTTTAAAGAGTTAAATAAGACAAAAAAAAAATTTTGTGTTACGCGGGAATCTTTGTTGATCTATCCTTTTATCTGCCTATCAGTTTTTAAAAATACAACACATATTTATTTTTTGCTTTTATCATGGAGTGCTGCTGGTTAGGCAGTTTGTGCTAAAAGTGCTCTCTTCGAAGAGGTGACACAAAGATCCAGATTGCTTGCAAATTTCAGCCAAGTCTGAAACACGTGGCCTCCACGCTCACAGAGGACAAGATGGGAGAGGGTTGCTAGATTGTGCAGGATATTGGAAAGAGCAAGGTATGGAAACAGCTGGCATCATTTCTGGATACATCTCATTGGCCTTAATCAGTTATATGAACCTGGCCCAACTGAAAAGGGGGGAGCAGAGAGGAGAACATGGATGTTTGATGATCACAAGTCTCTATCACAGTGTCTTTTTGCTCCCTTCTTCACAGAGAGCAAGATTAATCCATCTTCAAGAGAGACAACCTAATCAGTGATTTTTTTGAACTACACTTTTATTTCTTTGCTTCTCTATTAATTCCTGGATCCATATAATACTGTTGTGATCACCGGGGCTCATATGCTCTTAGATATTGCCATTACATGACTATTCTCCTTTTTTTCCCCATTGTTTCAAACCCTTTTGAGCATTTTTCTCCCAAGAGACCTTCATAATAACTTTGACAAGTGTCTGCTTCACAATAAATGAATCAATACTATGACCCTGCCCTGGCCAGGTGGCTCAGTTGGTTGGATCATTGTCCCATACACCAAAAGGTTGGGAGTTTGATTCCCCATCAAGGCACATACTGAGATTGGGGGTTCAATCCCTGGTCAGGAGGCAATAGATTGATGTTTCTCTCTAAAAAAAAAACCAATAAAATGTTCTCTGATGGGGATCAAAATATATTAAAAAAACAAAACAAAAACGATGACATTAGAATCCTGATAAGAATGGCATAAAATGATACATTACTTTTGGAGAAATTTATGCATCTACAATGTTTAATCTTAAAGATTTTGCCATTTTAAACCATGGATTCTGGACATTTATTATTTAAGTATTTCTTACTTTTGTATTTATACTTTTGGTTTAGAGCTATTAGGATACTAAAAATCACTTCAAGGTTTCCCTTTTAACATCATGAGGCATTTTATAATGAGAAGACAATTTCATTTCTTATTTGAGATCAAAACATCAATATACAGCTAAAGGGAGACCTGAAAATAAAATTTCCCTAAAGCAGGGGGAAAAACCCTCTAGCATTACATGACAATATTTAGCCCACATCTTTGAACAGCCTAAAACTGTTCAAAGATGTGGGCTAAAGGGGATGTTTTAAAAACAGCTTTTTATTATCAGTTGGTTCAGCCCCACATGATCAAAAAGGTTCCCTGGAAAGAAAAAAAAATAAAGATATTCTTCTCTAAAGCATTAGACAGCATGACACTGATTAATCGAAGCAACAGACAACATGGGGTAATCTCTCTGCTGGTTTCATGGAAAGATTATGAGGGGAAACACAAGTGCCACTGACATCTTGTGGGAGAATGATTTTTCAACTTGACACCAAATGCATCTCAAGGCTATTACTGAAAAATATTTGCTGAAGAAGAGAATACTGAGCTATGCCTCATGGAGAGTGCATCCTCCTGGCATATCTGAATTCACAGTCATATAATAAAAATTTCATCTTCAGCAGTGCCCTGGCTTGCATTGACCAAGGAGGAATTAGCTATGGATTAAAATATGTTACTAACTAACAGTGCCTCTGATAGCACAAGTTCACATGTACAGGACATACCATACAAACACTTAACAAAATTTTGAGCGGTTGTCATTGCAACAGCAGAAAATAGGAGAGTACATACTATGGTTTCCTGACTTTCTCTCTGACGTATAATATTGAATTCAAATGCTTCACTGACCCTATGGTATTACAATTTAATATAAAAGTTAAAATCCAATTTCATAGCCCTGCTAGAGATCTTAATGTATATCTTTGGGATTAACAGAGTTTAAATTCATTAACTTTCATAAAAAAAAATCTATGATAATTTAAAATATAGCCTTATGTCACTTGTTGGGAAGGAAATAATGGGAAGAAATAATCTTCTTTACGTTGCTGGTCTTCAGCATACGTTTCCGTAAGAAACTATCAACTCAGATAGCAATAGTCCACTTATTACCTACTAGAAGCCCAGTGCACAAAATTCATGCATGGGGGGTGGGCGTTCCTCAGCCCAGCCTGCACCTTCTCCAATCTGGGACCCCTTGAGCAATGTCTGACTGCACGTTTAGGATAAGGCGTAAACGGGCAGTCAGACATCCCTCTCACAATCCAGTACTACTGGCTCCCAACCGCTCACCTGCCTAACTGCCTGATTGCCCCTAACTGCTTCTGCCTGCCAGTCTGAACACCACCTAACCACTCCCATGTCAGCCTGATTAATACCTAACTGCTCCGCTGCTGGCCAGATTGTCCTTAACTGCCCTCCCTTGCCAGCCTGGTCATCCCAACTGCCCTCCCCTGCAGGCCTGTGACCCCCCAACTGCCCTCCTCTACAGGCCTGATCCCTTCCATCTTCCTTCCTCTGCAGGCCTGGTCCCTCTCAATTGCCCTCCACTGCTGGCATGATCACCTACAACTGCCCCTCCCCCCCTTCTGGCCATCTTGTGGTGGCCATCTTGTGTCCAGATGGGGGTGGCCATCTTTGGTCACCTGAGGGCGGCCATCTTGTGAGTTGGAGTGATGGTTAATTTGCATATTACCTCTTTATTATATAGGATATTAATTTCTTTATCATGGAGAATATATAGAGAAATGGCATTACCTCTGAAACTGCACAGAGCTAGGTATTTTTGATTTATTGTATAAAAATCATAAATATTTGCATGCTCATTAAAAAAATTTTAAATGAAGTTTCCTAAAACAGGATGATTTACAACCAAAATGTCCATAGAAAAACAGCCAAAATCTACATGGGAATCTAAAATTTCTGAAAATACAGTCTTATTTTCAGAGTTCTCTCAGTAATGACACAGCACGGAACACAAAGCACACATTTGCAAATTCCAGCGTGACATCTTGTACTTGCTGTGCAAACATGTGGCTCATATGCTGTTTTCTTGTCTCTAACACTGGGAAGAGCCTGCTTAAGAATGCTATCTCAATGTTTCACCTGGCCCAAAATGCAAATTCAGCATTTTTAGTTAGCTTCATGAACTCTAAGAATTCTAGAAGAGTGCTTTCACATACACACTTTAGAGATTTAAGCACCTTGATTAAAATCAAGCCTGTGATGGCTGATGGAGAACCTTAAATCTCCATAAAGCAGAGAAAACGTTAGACATTAGTTGTGAGAAAGTGGCTTTTATTGATAAGTTTTTTAAAGGAATTTGCAGAAGTTTCAGTTTCAGGAGACTTAATTAGCTGATGACAAGTGTGCTGATATATTCAAACATGTTAATGCTCAGAGGTCTCTTAGGCTTAAACCAACATATGGGGTCTCAAGAAAAAAGCACTCAAGGTATTCTGGAGAGGTTTACATAATCACAACCAAGGAGTATATAGGAGAAAATGTAGCTGCTTCAATGTGACTGAAATCTTGGATTTTGTTTTCTAATATCAACTCTACTCATTAAAATTCAAATCAGATTCAAGTGAGGATTCAAATCTCAATGCACAGAGACTATCGGATAAAATTTAATATTCCAGCAACACTTAATATTTTTATAAGATGAGATTTGTCATTCTTTGTTAGAGACAATGGTATATTAAGGCCAGAGTAGATGTCATCAATAGGAGGTCCCAAGGATCTTGGAGGGAGGCAGTATCTTCCATAACAAAGTCCTGGAACTGGGCATATCTCAGCTTCTCTTAGCAGTCATGTATTATGACTCTGCCTTCCACAAATATCCAGAAAAGCTTTGGGGAATTTTTTGCATATTCTATTTAACTAGCAACACTTCTGGTTTATGAAGATGTAATTCTTTCTACTTGTCCTCAACTTTAGTCATTAAAAGTTTTAAAGAGATTCCCATTGTTCTAAGCTTTTGGAATTTACTTCATATCCTACCTCGTAAGCTATTTTTTAACAGCCTCCCTGAGCTCTGCAAGGCTAACAAGTCAGTATTTTAGCGAGGTGTTAAGTGGCCATCAGTTCATCCCTCTGACCTTTAGGTCACCCTCTCTACATTTCAGTACTTCTTTTCTGATATGTGGAGATTAAACCATGTGTGGGATTCCAGATACTAAGGAAATAAATGGGTTAAATAAAGTTTTCTCAAGTTTTCTGTATTTGCATTTGCCTTGTTAATAATTTCAAACAAAACTGTTGGCTTTATTGACTGATGGCCTTAAGAGAGAGAGAAAGGACAAATCCATTTTTCTAGCACAGCACTGTGTGTGTGTGTGTGTGTGTGTGTGCGCGTGTGTGTGTTTTTCGGGGGAGGGGGGCAGGGAAGTGCAAAAGCTAATTCTTTATTTAGCATACATAATTTCAATTACGTATCCTCTTCGTCTGGAATGCTTATAAAGAAGTTAGAAGAGAACAATATGATTCCCGAGAAACTGTTTTTATTTAATT